GGGATGAGGTTCAAGCAGTGCTAAAAGAAAAATTAATAGTTGTAAATGCCTATGTTAGATAGAAGAAATATATTAAATCAGTAACCTAAACTTCCACTTCAAGGAATTAAATAATTAGATAAACAGCAAAGTAAATCCAGAGCAAGCAAAAGGAAGGAAATGAAGTTTAAAATAGAAATCAATAAAATGAAATAGAGGAAAAACGAAATAGAAAATACAGAAAAATCAATGAAACCAGGTTAGTTTTCTTTCTCTTTTTCTTTTTTTCTTTCTTTCTTTCTTTCTTTCTAAGAGAGAGAGAAAGAATGAGCAGGGAGAGGGGCAGAGGAAGAAGCAGACTCCCCCCAAGCATGGAGCCTGATGTGGGACTCTATCCCAGGACCCGGAATCATGATCTGGGCCAAAGTCAGACACTCACCCGATAGCCAAAGTGAGACGCTTAACCAAGTGAGCCACCCAGGCACCCCAACCAGGTTAGTCTTTTGAGAAAATCAACAATATCAAACTTTTAGCTAGATTGACTATTGGATATTCCTGCGCCAAAAGATGAATTTAGACTGTTACTTCAACTGTATACAAAAACTAACCAAAAATGGATCACAGACCTAAATGTAAGAACAAAACTTGTAGAAAAGAACACAGGAGACTTTGGATTAATCTAAGAGTTTTTGGATATGACCAAAAAAAAGTACAATTCAAAAAAAGAAAAAAATTGATAAATCAGACTTTATCAAAACTAAAATCTTTTGTACTTCAAATGACACCATTAAGAACATAGACAAGCCACACACAGGGAGAAAAATATTTGCAGAACACATATGTAATAAAGGATTTGTATCCAGAACATATTCAGGACCCTTACAACTCAATAACAAGACAACCCAACCAAAACTGGACAGATTTTAATACACATTTCACCAAATTATGTGAATATGCACATGAAAACAAGCTCAACATCATCAGCCATTAGGAAACAGAAATTAATACTACAGTGAGATACAACTAAACACATACTAGAACAGCTGTAGTTTAAATTTCACACAATTGGTGAAACTGTATAAGAACCAGAGACTTCATACATTGCTGGGGAATGTAAAACAGTACAGTCACTTTAAAGAACAGTTTGGCAGTTCCTTAAAAACATAAATTTATCAGGGCGCCTGGGTGGCTCAGTGGGTTGGGCCTCTGCCTTCGGCTTGGGTCGTGATCCCAGGGTCCTGGGATCGAGCCCCACGTCGGGCTCTCTGCTCGGCGGGGAGCCTGCTTCCCCCTCTCTCTCTGTCTGCCTCTCTGCCTACTTGTGATCTCTATCTGTCAAATAAATAAATTTTAAAAATCTTAAAAAAAAAAAAACCACATAAATTTATCATTAAGACCCAGCAATTCCACTCCTTAGGACCTACCCAAGAGAAATGAAAACATGTATCTAGTTATAGATTTGCACACAAAAATTTGTTGGCAGCAGTACTGGACAAAGGGCCAAAAAACTGAAAACAATCCAAATGTCCATCATTTTGTCAGTGTATAACAACACGCACTATATATATTGTATATCAGATATATTGATATATTGTATATCAGAATACTGATATACAATGTGATATGGATGAAACTCATATCATTATGCTAAAGGAAAGAAACCGAACAAAAAAACAACATAATGTGTGAGTCCATGTATTTGAAACATCCCACAGAGGCAAATCTATAGACAGAAAACAGGTAGTTACCCAGAGATGGGGGTGGGAAAGGGGAAGGGGGTTGCCAACACAGAGAAACTTGTTGAGGTGATAGAAATGTGACAGTTGCACACCTCTATAAATTTACTGAAAGCCACTGAATGGTACATTTACAATTGGTAAATCTTAAAGTATGTCAATAAAACTGTAAAAACACACATATATATATACATACATAACCAGCAAAGAATATACATCGAAATGCATAGATGAAAAAAATTAGGCAATAAACTGATAATTTTTTAAGATGAGTAATGAGTAATGGAGGCTCAGTATAGTACTCCTTCTACTCTTATGTATGTTAAAAAAAATCAAATCAGGGGCACCTGCGTGGCTCAGTGAGTTAAAGCCTCTGCCGTCGGCTCAGGTCATGATCCCAGGGTTTTGGGATCGAGCCCCACATCGGGCTCTCTGCTCAGCAAGGAGCCTGCTTCCCTTTCTCTCTCTCTCTGCCTGCCTTTCTGCCTACTTGTGATCTCTGTCTATCAAATAAATAAATAAAATCTTGAAAAAAAAAATCAAATCAAGTGGCTAGGTAGCTGTTTGCATATGATATCTATCATCAGGGTTTCCCCCAAAACAAAGAAGCACACAAACAAAAAAAAACCCAAAACCTATTTAACCTATGATACTGTAGCACACTCTCTGACCCAGCTACCTAACAAACTCCCCTCCGTACCTTCATCCACAATGAGAACTAGAAAACTAGGAGTCACCCACCCAGACTTCTCTGAAGCTAAGGATAGTCCTGTGACCCAGTTCTGGTAAGATATAAGAAGGACTACCTCTAGATAGAATTTCTAGGAAACCTTTTCAAAACCGGCATTCATTCATTCATTTATTCACTCATCAGCCCTTTTCCTTTCACATCCCAAACCAGGAACCTAAGGCTTTGATGACGTCAGTGAGTTCTGCACCAACCCTTCCTATCTTCCTCACTCAACTTCTTGTTATATGAGACAAATAAGCCCCTTTCTTATTGAAGCTAATATGGTAAGCTTTTTTGTTCCTTGCTTGCAGCCAAATAACCCTCAAGGATCCTATTTTCGTATCTGTATTTAGAGGCTGACTACCACCACTGTGATATTACCACATCAGTGTCTCTCTCCTGCCCAGCACACTACTTAAGGTATTTCTGCCATATTTTCTAAGATTAACTTGACTTCCCTTAAAGTGCCCAATGTCTTCTTTCTTTTCTTCTATCTCTCGTTTCACAAAGCCTAGAAAGTCTCATTCAGCAGCAGTTACAATCAGGAATTCCCAGGTCCAAAAGAAAAAGAATGAACAGGTAACCTACATTTCACTTGTTCAAAGTCAGGGGCACCTGGGTGGCTCACTCAGTTAAGCATCTGACTCTTGGTTTTGGCTCAGGTCATAATCTCAGGGTCGTCAGATCAAGCCCCACATCAGGCTCCACACTCCCATGCACAGTCTGCTTAGGACTGTCTCTCCCTCTCCCTCTGCCTCTCCCACCCACCCTGTATGCATGCGTGCACTCTCTCTCTCAAAGAAAAAAATCAATAAAAATAAGTAAATAAATAAATTGTTCAAAGTCTAACATCTGACTTCTATATGCCTAGACTGATTTTTTTTTTAGCCCTTGGCATGTGTTAATTTGCATGACTGCCTTTCACAATTTCTATTAAAGCCACATCCTTCTTGCTTAATAATGCTGCCCCTTTTTTAAAGATTTATTTGAGAGAGAGCACATGCATGTGTGTGAGCGAGAGTAGGAGGAGGGGCAGAGAGAGAGAGAGAATATCTCAAGCAGATTCCCCACTGAGCACAGAGCCCAATGAGCCCACTAAGCTCGATCTTAAAACTCAGAGATCATGATCTGAGCTGAAATCAAGAGTCAGATGCTGAACCAAGTGAGCCACCCAGGTGCTCCTAATGCTGCCCTTTTCTGTAAGCCTAGACCGCTTACCACATAGATAGAGCTGTAAACCAAGAGTAGCAAAGAGCAAATACTGTATCGACTTGATCTGGCCTTTTATCCTAAAGACCTGCAGTATGTCATAAGCAGAGCCACCTTCATCATCTCAGCCTGGTTTACACAGTAATGAAATATTAAGTGATGAAGTCAATTACTAGAAATATTACTGGTACTACTAACTTTTCTATTACTATTTGTATTTCTATTAGTGTAAAGTCATAAGTTTATACTATCTTTCAAAAGATCAACTTTCTTCAGTAAGTTAATGTAGGTCATAAAAAATAATTTCCTTTTGTAGATCCACTGGCATCAGGAAAATTAAAAATCCCAATACTCACATACTATTCATATACTTCATACGTTCTACCAATTACAGTTATACAGATGAGTAGATGTTTATAGAAAGGAAGAAACAAGTATGGCACAATCACCTAGGTTTTTTCTGGAAGTCTAAAGGCAATAGGAAAATTGTGGTCATTAAAGACACTGATATCAACTAACAACCTGCACAACCGCAATACAAAATAAATTAGAAAATTATTATTTAAAACAGTAAAGCATGCTGGGGCACCTGGGTGGCTGAGTTGGTTAAGTATTCAACTCTTGATTTCAGCTCAGGTCATGATCTCAGGGTCAGGAGTTGGAGCCCTGAGTCAGGCTCCACGCTGGGTGCAGGGTGGGCTTGTGGGATTCTCTCTCTCCCCCTCTGCTCCCCCCACCCCTGCTGGCATTCTCTCTTTAAATAAATAAATAAATAAATCTTAAAAATAAAGTAATATAAAATGATAAAGAACTCAGAATGAAAACATTTCATGTCAAGAAACAGTAAACACTAATATCCAATAATTCTCATCACATGATTTGTACTAACCTACCTCTCTAAAATTACACAGTGACTATTTTTGCTCTATCTCTCACACAAATTAGTACAATTATAACAAAATGAATATGAACTTACAGTGGTTTCTATCCCAAAAAGTCTACCACTGAAAGATACCTCAAAAAGTGAAGGCAACAACTAGAATTTCATGATACTTAAATTTTTTTCTAATGTACCTCAATTCTGATGGAGTCAACAAGATAATCTCTAAGCCTTTTGCGTCATTTTTTAAAATCTATGAATCAAAAATCTTATATATTTCTACAGTAAAAACAGAAGATATGTCAAAGACATCGCTGTTTACAACTAACTTCTGCTTATTTTAGTGAATAATGAAATTCAACAGTAAATGACATTTTCTGTTAAAAAACTTGAATTCCACCTTACTATAAATTAGAAAACAAAAATATTTAATGAAGTACAAAATATTTCAGAAAGACTACCAAACCTTGAAAAAATCTTCAAGTTGTTTACTGTTGTAAAGAGCGGGGATATTGGCAGAAAACTGTAGCAAATCTTCAGCACACTGTCTTCTCTCTTCAATAACTGTTTCATCAAATCGTCCTAGAATCAAATAAGAACCAAGACTTAAGGAAGGAAGGAAGGTTTATGAGAGTTTACGTTCACAGCTCAGAAAGAAGCAGCAGGCCTATTGCTGCTTTACTACACAGTCCTCTAGAGTCAAGTCTGTACTATCGGAATCAGCGTACTCTCCCCCAAAATAGAAAACAGTGTTTCCAATACAAGAGACAGAGGGGAGAACCGATAAATCAATGGCGCAGGCCTACTTGAAGGCCTGTCCATGTAAGAAACTTAACATTTAAGAAGCTGGTCTGAAACTCAAGCTGAAAAGAGATTTCTAAAGAACTCCAATGGTTTTCCATAGTAATTTAATACTGTAATTACTCATATAATTTTCCCTTTCCCACTCTTTTTGATTTATAAAGGAGCTGAAGAGAGGAAATTATGAGAACATCTGTGTATCAGTGGGGTCAAAAACCTCAGCTTGAAGCAAAAAAGCTTTGAAGCCAAACTCTATGTGTGCTGCTGTCAGCGTACATGACAGCATGCCTGTGAGTAAAAAGACGGCCCGCACAGCACCGGTGAGCTCTGATTTACAAGGTGATTGAAAGGTGGTTTTCACAGAATTTTTTTTAATGCTATGTACAATTTGAATGCTGATAAGACATTTTAAAATATGATCATTTTGTACTCCTGTTAGATCAGATTCCTGGTTGGCATCTGTCACATGCCACGTAACGCTGACTGCAATCCAGGCTTCAAAAGAGGAGCATCGTCCCATAAACACTTTAAGCAGCTTTGCAAAATGTTAACAGAAAACTGAGGCACAAAGAGATTCCGAGTTATATAACCCAAGACAAGAATGTGAAGCTGAACCACAAAACACTCTCAGCTCAATGTGTCTCATGCTTATGGTGAAGTATTTACTTCATAAAAACTAAAAGAAATGGTTTTAGAGTTAGACCTGGTGTAAATCCTAGCTCTATCATTCACTTGCTATGAAACCTTAGATAATTTCTTCATTTATAAAATGGAGAAAATGAACAATATACTTAAGACTCCCAGTTCTATGATAGGCACATCGTCAGCACTTAATAAATTAATCACGATGCCTTTGAATGTTCAAGTGTCATTACAGTGTCTAACATACAGAGCATACTAATTAACTCATACCTAACTGTAAGAATGAATGGTTTAAAAAAAAAAAACTGTGAACATTCTACCTTAGAAAATAGCCATCTTTCATTAATAAAAAGTCTTAACAGTGGTCCATAAACAACCTACTCAGCTAAATGGATGGTTCCAGAGACAACAGTCCTACCAAATTTCATGCATGTGTCCATAGGTACCTTTTTCCAGGGAATGAGCGTGGAACTTTTATCAACATCATCAAAGTGCCCAGAGCCCAGTAAAGGTTAACAGGCCAGAGGCAGTCAATTAGAGGAAACCTAACATTCAGGCCAGTGTCGTTTTGATGCTATATAACAAGTTGCCAGTTGCTAGCCCAGGGTCTGTTTTCACCTTCTTCCTTAGTAAAATAATCCCCAATTTCTAACTGTGGACATGGTAACCCAGAGGGGAAAAAACAAAACACTACATTCCCAGCTTGCCTTACAGTTACATGTGGATATGGACTATATTCTTGCCAAAAACATAAACAAAAGTTGTATTGTAGCTTCCTAAAAATCTCTTTAAGAAATAGCCTTTTCTGCTTTCTTCTTGGCCCCTTCCAGGAAGGACTGTGACATGGGAGGTTAAAAGTGACAGAGCAACAAGACGGGAGCCTTGATTCCTGATCACTGTGGAGGTGCCCTGCCTGGAGCTACCTTCAGATCTCACACCATGAGAAAGAAATCGACTTTTATTTGGTTTTAAGGTTTATCACAAGAAACCAAACCTAATACCATTAGGCTAGTTGGTGTTTCTGTGTTCTGTTTTTCTATTATTTCCCAGTTCATATGTAACAATTCAATTTAACTCAATTCTCCCGTTGAAAATCTAAAATGATGTGCTGGCTTACCTATCAATAATATTATCTGGAAACAAACTTCCAAGCGCTTGTAGAGCAAATTTTCTGGACATCAATCTAAGTTATTCAGTCTTGGGAAAAATCCACTAGCCAAACAGGTTAAAATGACAACTAATGTCCATTATTCCTTTTTCTGTCTAAATAAGAAATTAAGTATACACTGGTACTTATGATTATAGTCCAATATGTTTATCCTTTAAACACAATTTAATTCCAGCGCCTATGAATTACTATTAATAATTTTGTGAACATATATAACCTCAGAACAAAAATCCAGAAAATGCACAAAAAAATCATACTATGTTTCAACCCACAAAACCACCTGATACTATCTTCAAATGCATTAACTTGTCAAGAAATTTTAATGGAAAACTCACTAATATTTAATAACACCCTAAAAAGTCTCATTCAGTAGCTAAAACAAATACATATTAATTTGAGAGCTTCAATCCTAAATGTAATCAGTGATTCACCCCACTTCCCTATTAAGCTAGACTAAAATGCTTAAGCAATGAGTACATCAACTTCTAAAGAGAATAAAACACATCTTTATGCATTTCCATTCTACTAAACTTGGACAAGTGGAGAGGAATTAAAATATTTTTCAGAATGGAGCAAGTACAATAAAAAATAAAGGCTTTTGCAGTAAAAGGTTCAATTACACTGAATCCTATCATCAGAACAAACAGATGAAAGAACATGCTCACTTCTTTGTTCCTAAGATATTTCAGAATAATAACAAAAAAAAAATGGGATTTGTAGCATAAACGAAACAGAAGCAGATGAATTTTAATCCAATAGCTACTAGCCTTAAAAGAGTAAACAAAGCCATCTAATTTTAAACTAAAAAAAAAATAGTAGCAAGATTCAATAGTCATCCTAATTGCAGTCAACACCCTAGTAGCCACTATTCTCTAGTTGCTAGGCCTTTAGTAGCACCTAAACCCCACTCGAAAGCAGCAACAATGAGAAATCATAAACAGGAACTTCTTTATCACTACTTTAAATTTCCATTCACAGGGTCAATGTTTATTTTCCCATGAACAGAGTAAAAATTATAGCTGACTTACAAAAGAAAATGCAAAACATTTTTCATAAGAAGATTTATTGTGTAGTATCACATAGTATATACTATATTATTTGTATGTGTATATATTATATATAAGCCAGCCCCCACCCTCAGTGACCCAGCAACACTTTATTAAAAGCTAGGGGAGGGGCGCCTGGGTGGCTCAGTGGGTTAAGCCTCTGCCTTCAGCTTAGGTCATGATCTCAGGTCCTGGGATTGAGCCCCACATCGGGCTCTGTGCTCAGTGTAGAGCCTGCTTCCCCCTCTCTCTCTGCCTGCCTCTCTGCCTACTTGTGATCTCTCTGTCAAATAAATAAATAAATAATTTTTTAAAAAAACTAGGGGAGAAAAAATTAAATTCAAGCATTCTAATTAAGCTGGTAACTCACTCAAAATAAAGGCTCTCTCTCTGATTTATTAAGCCGCCTTTGGGACATTCTTTTCTTTTCTTTTCTTTTTAAATGTAGAATACCACCCAGATACCAGAGCTTACAAGTTTTTTTAAAATGCAAATGTCAATGATCAAAAACTGGCTATATGGAACAAAAAATTGCCCTTGACCAGTAAGAAACTAGCTAGAAAAGCCTGATGCTGATTCTTAACTGAAGCAAAAATTCATTCAGAGTAAAAACAAAGAGAGGCCGAGGTTTCCGGGTGTGAATTCTTCCCAGTCAACAGCACCAAGAACATCCCTCTAAATGAACAAGTTGGATTTATTGCTCCTTGCAACCAGGAAAAATGTATACTACTGGGCACCCTGGAGCATTTCACTAAGAGGGTGTGAGAATGGACTCACCGGATCTGGGCTTGTGCTAGGTACTTTTGGGAAAGGTTTAAAGAAATGGGGGCTTTGCCCTGGTTCAGATGCTGTTAGGAAGTGGAGATAATTCTATGGGTTCTACAAATTCTATCTAATTCCATGATGCTACAATTTTAATAGATCTTATTATGAGGCAAGATGAATGAAGAGAGGCTAAGGCTGTGATTTACATGAAGAAGCAGCAGTCACTCACAGCTGCTGAGATGAAGATATGCTTGATCATTTTTGTGGCTTCAACAACATTCATGTTTTTGTGCTCAGACAGGATTCCAGAGTGGTCTTGTTTTTGTCTTGATCCAAGGACACAGAGTGGCCTTGTCTAATGGTCCTGTTCTGTGCAACTGCTTACATTCAACAGGAGAACAACACAGCATAGACATGAATGCAAGGCCAAACTCCAGGAAACACCAAGGTCAAAAGAAAAGGTATGCAAGGCCAGTTCTTTCTTAGCTATCAGGAACTGCTTTTCTCTTTCTCATAGGAAAGCAAAGTCTGATTACAGATCTAACAAAACAATGATCTAATCCTGAGAAAGCAGACAGGTGGACAAAACTGTCTTATACCTTTAAAAATGTCATTGTCATTAAAGACAAAAAAAAAAATGCGCAAGGAATACTCAAGATTAACCTAGAGGCATGATCCTAGATCCAAAAACAAACAAACCTAAAAAGGACATTTTTAGAACAACTGAGGAAATATGAATATGGACTGCACATTTTATATTATTGTATCAAGGTTAAATTTCTTGAGTGTGATATGGAATTGTGATTATAGGGAAAATACGAAGCGCAGGGGTGAAATGTCACAATATCTGCAACTTATTCTCAAATGGTTCAGAAAGAAAAAGAGAGATACATAGAGAGTCATAAAAAATTCAGCAAATTGTTAATAATCAATGAACTTGGGCCAAAGGTATAAAAGTATTTACCACATTACTCTTCTGTGGTTTTTTCCTGTAAACTTAAAAATTTTGCACATTAAAAAAAAAAAAAACTGGGTGCCTGGGTGGCTCAGTGGGTTAAGCTGCTGCCTTCAGCTCAGGTCATGATCTCAGGGTCCTGGGATCGAGTCCCACATCGGGATCTCTGCTCAGCAGGGAGCCTTTTTCCCTCTCTCTGCCTACT